ACATTACAGACCCCGCGGCTCATTAAGGAGCTCCCTGCAGCCAATTATCTGAGCCTCCATGTCTGGAAGCCAGTGTGACCAAAAGGGGCTCAGAGGCAGATCTGGGAGCAGCCTGTCCTCCTCAAATCTACACCTACTGTATGAGAGTCAAAACAGAAAACTGACCTTTGGTCATTGTCTCGGGGCGACTCCACTCAGCTCCACTTTAGAGTCAGGTGACAGAGCGTCTGACCTTTACCATGGAAATAATGACTTGTTCTTGTGCCAGGAGCTCAGAGGGTTACCGCAGGGAGCGAGACACCTCTGGCGACATGTGACAGTTTTTGGAGGAGAGAGTTTGCACTCAGCACTTTGATAGCCCCGGAAAACCAAAGTGTGTGTGACAAGACACAAGCGACTTAGAAGTGTGTGTATATCTATGCCTGCGTGTGTGTGTTTGAGTGCGCACCAGAGACATAGTGTTGAAAGGAAATAGGTGTCAGACAAGAGGTGCAGAGAGGAGTAATTTAAAGTTGTCAATACTTCCTGTGCAGACATTCCACCTGAAATTTTAAAAATAAAAGTGATTGTGAAAAAAGGGTCCAATTGTGAAGGGAAGAAGAAAAGAAACAGAATCTGAACAAACAATACATGTTGATGAAATTCGGGCAAAACATTTGCAGCTTACTTTCCAAGGTCACAAAAAAAGCCCTTCGCACATGTCTCTGTGTCAACTATCCCTCGAGACACAAAGAGCCCAAAAAACTCCCGGTGCTGTGAGACAGACAGGTAAACAGAGAGTCTAACATTCCCCGACCTGTGCAGCAACACACTGAGTCTTAATCACATTATATGGCCCAGGGAGCAGGCCTGCGTGTCAGACTGGCTGTTGAGTTGTTCGACTGTGTCGACAGCAGACATAGGAGAGGTGAGACAAGTGGAGGGACAGAGGGAGGGAGAAGATGGAGGAGGGAATGTGGAGAATGGGGGAATAAGTTGGGGAAGGAGGTAAGAGGAGACACGACATAGCTGGAGTAGTTAAAAGAGAAACGTGAAAAAAACAGGCTGTTAAAAAAGGGATACAAGAGAAATGTCATGAGGAAAAGATTCATGCTCAAAACTTTAGCTGCATTTCTAGTTTTAACATTTTTGACTGGGATTTCACTCAGTGTTAAGTTTACACACGATATCCTCCCCAAAAGCATTTATTTGAAAAAACTTTTGGTCTGATTTGATACTTTAACCATTAAAAGAAGTCTTCATCTTCAGTCATTCTTCTGACTAAAATGTCATTTCATTTTTGTAATAATTTAGGTGTTTAAATTCTTTTCATTACCATAAAATTAAAAAAGATTAAATCTAAAGCTGATTTATGTGGTTTTGCTGGTGAGAGTTGCGCCACATGGGTTACAAAACAGGAAGCTGGTTGTACCGTTTCGCAAAAAAGTGATCGTTATCCCCTTCTGACTGGATCACTTACAAACTAGTCCCACCTTTCTACACAACTTCATTGGTTCTCATTGGATCTCATTTCTCCAGAATATCTTCATTTAATTTTTAATCGCTGTTGCAAGTTGCAACATCTTTAAATCATAGTTTTTGCCCTTGTACCTTAGTTTTTAGTTAGTTATAAAATTGCTTTTATCAGAAAAAAAGGTTGTTGATGAAAACTGTGACTTAAAATTATTGGTCAACAAAATGAGCCCTGGTTAACAGCACACTTATTGAAGGTCATGCTGACCTAGCTGAGATTTTTAAAATGTCAACTTCGCATTCATTGATAACCTTTAGTTAGCTTTAGCTAACAACAATACAAATGTTTTGCCCAAATTTCATTAACATGTATTGTTTGTTCATATTCTATAAGTGAAGTTTTTTTCCTCTTTTTCATTTAAATGAAGCTAACATGGAAGTGTAAATAACTGCAGTTCTTTGGAAAGCCACTTGAGGCTGGCTTAAAAAATTAAATTAGTCCAATAGACAGCATAAAAGATTGATGTAGCTACCTTGCTGATGTAGCTACCTTGCTGATGTAGCTACCTTGCTGATGTAGCTACCTTGCTTTCCTTTTGGAACCTCAAAAAGTGCGTTTTTTTCTTTTTTCTCTTTTTCTGACTGAAGCCGTTCCCTCATTGACAAGTTGTTAGCCAAAGAAGTTTCAGTTTCATATCACAAATAATCCTCCATTTTTTAAAAACATAGTATGAGTAAGATGTTGTCTGATTGTTACTCGGGTGACTCGGGAGTGACATCATTCCTGAGTTAGTGTGTCAGAGCGGGCACAAAAACCTTTTTTACTTCTTAGCAAGGTAGACCAATTCAAGCATCACTAGCAAAGACAATAATATGTTTTTGAGGGTGGGGGTTAAAAAGACTGCTGCAGCACATCCATGGATAGAGCCAAGGCAATGCTCTGCCTGTGGCACAAGTCACAGATCCACAACAGATTAAAGGTTCAACAGTTTTACTACTGTTTGCATCCGCTGCCTCCATTTAAGAATGTAAACTTTAGGTTGGTGGGGCTGCTCCACCTTTCCAAACTGGAAATCCCATATCATTGAATGTTCCAGATGAAAATTTTTACTTGGCACTTGGAACTCAATCTGGAACACATCAACAGAGCTGTTTGTCCGCTAATCAGAAGGTCGTTGGCTGAATCCCTGAATCCTCTAGTTTGGATCCTGATGCATTTTTCGGGAGTAAATGTTAGAAAGTGCTTTGGAATATATAAAAGCACCGTATGAGTATGTTTGTCACTGTGTGAATGAGAGTTGCCCTAGAAAGCCTGACTGTTCAACTGAGTAGAAAGGTGCTATAAGTGGTGAGTGCTATATGGTGGTAAGTACCATTCCATTTACCATTTGCAGAATGTTAATTTTTAATTTTTACTTTTATTAAATCTGACCAAAAAAAGAGTAAGCCCATAAGCTCAGCAGGAAAGTGTTTACCGAGGTCAAGGCTGAAAGCTTTTTTCCCATAGATTCTGCAGGACCATTGCTATCAGAGAGAAAGCAGATTTAAGGCACTTCTGCATTGGCTTCGTTTTCCTAACTTGGAAGATACATCAGTGTTATATGGTGTCTGTAGTCAGTCCTCATAGACTCCTTTTTTAAAATGTTCAGATATACCACATTAAAACTTTGCTTACAAGTATAAAAAACAGTTTGTTCTCTATGGCTAATTCTTTTTCTAATAGCTAATTTGTTCTTTCTGGCCATTGTATGGGGGATGAATTTACACAGTTCAGTCCTCTAACCCACAGGTGTCGAACTCCAGGCCTTGAGGTCCACTGTACTGCCCTTGTAGCTTCTTATTGGCAAAGCATACCTGATCTACGTATTCAGCAGCTGGTAGGGCAGGGATATCTCAAAAACAAGCAGGATGTTGGCCCTTGAGGACTGGAGTATGACACCCCTGCTCTAACCTGTTTTATGCTTAAAGTTGTATCTTATCAGTTGTAACTGCATCTGAGTGATAGTTGTTTTTTCTTCAGCATTTAGTCATCGTAAGACACACTATGTTTGTTGTTCAGTCTCTCCAGTTCCTCATTCAGTTTGAAAGCTGTTTTCTGCTAGCCAAAATCAGACTGCCATCCAATATGCTAGCACTGAATTACCGTAGTACCTTGCTAACCAAGCTAATGTTAGCTAATAGCTCTCCAGAGCTACTCTATCATCTAAATGTGGGTTAAAATGTATTTAAATTAAAAGAAAAAAACCCCCAAACAATTAGAAAAAGAAATAAACTGGATTGTAACACCAAAATTACCAAAGGCTTAAAAAAGGCAGTCCAGAAACCAAAGTATGATGGCTTCAAGTCTTTTTTTTTTTTTTTGTACTAAGACTATGCTAATGTAATCAACAGATTGTTCACTTTCCAAGAGCTGGACTATTTGAAATGTTTTCCAGCTCTTTGATTTTGGTTTTTAAGATTATAGCTCTAACCTACTATTTTGGTTCTACTTTGAGTAACAAAGAAAAAAATGAGCAAATTGTAGTGAGGCAGACTTGCAACCAGCTAGTGAGTACAGTGGAGTGTTTATCAGCAAAATAGATGAATCATTTTCTTAGCAGTTATTTTAGACCACAATAGGAAATGAGTAATGCGCTCAGTTTCTGGTGGACGTAAATTTCCACTGAGTGCTAATGTTGTACAGTGATTGAATGTGTAAGTAAGCAACCTTTAGCCATGTCAGTTTTAAGTGTACGTGTCAGTACCGTGGTCACAGCTTCATGCTGCTGACCCTTAGTTGACAATAAATGTGTTGTTGCTTGTCTGAATTTTACAATAAGTATGCATATTATTCATGAAATTATATAATGAAAACACAGGCACAAACACTGTATTAAAAACAATTGCCAATTAACATATAAAGGGAAGCTGGACCTTTTCCTAACCAAAGCTAAGTCACGTTGACACAACTTGATAAAATGCATACTCCACTCCCGGTACTCCCCGTTCTCTCTACCAGAGGAAAAACGTTTTTTCTCAAACGGCTAAGGGTGAGAGCAAGTATACCCTTATATCTCTTTCCCCACTTAGCACAAAGCCAACCTCTTATCTGGCTGTCATTCTGCGTCCTTCACAACACTAGTACTTCTTCTTTTGAAGTCAAATCTGCCTCAAGATTGTTTTTAAACCAGAAACAAAATTGTACCTGTTCTGGTTCATTAAATTTGGATTGAAAAATGTAAAAATTTGAGCGAAAATATGAAAGATATTTCTGCAGCCTACCAAAATAAGATCCCAGTCGCCAGCAAGCAGGAGAAAGAAAACTTTCCAGAAATAAAAAGTCAGATGTCATTATTTATCATCTTAGATCTTACTTATTTATGAAGCAGAAACAGAATGAAATTCTCGGTTGAATTCATCCTGAATTATTTAATTTGAAATGGTTAATTCCATACAAAGCCCAGGCAGATCCCTCCTCTGTTCTGATAAATACTTTATCACTGCTCCTAAATCGAAAACAGGATGAGCAGAAATATTGTTGGGGGGGTGAAGGAAAAAGACAACAGCTCTTCACTGTTTCTTGTTGTGCTTTATTTGTGAAACTTGTGGAGGTTCCTTTAATAATTAAAGTTGATGAAAACGCATTTTTTCTTAAAAAAAAAAAAGTTATTTAGGCTAATGATAACTGCCTGATTTCTGTTTATTATAGCAATCTTTTCTATTTATTGCCTGCATGAAAAAGAAATCACCAGAGGGGATAAAGATGTGACACTTAGTTAAAATTACTTAAGAGCTTTTATGAAGCATTTTGCTTGTGGTGGATTTTCTTGCAGTCCCAGGTTGACAAAGTCAAAAGCCGCCTAATGAAAAGGGACGCATCGCTGATTGCAGCTATATCTGGAGCCGAGGTGGAAGTGGCATCGATTTAACAATTTAGCAGCACCCTCCTCTGTGTGTTTCCATTAGTCACGGCTGAATACCACTCACATTCCCCCTTTCTTTCCTTCAAAACACACACAAATACCCTGTCTGTGGCACACTCACACACACGCATCCAAAACTGCCGAGGTATATTCCCTTTCCCCTGAACTGGATTTATATCAGCTAACGTGATTCTACTATTGGTTCCAGACAGCGGGCAGCTAATGTAAGGGCACAGTCGGAGAACTTTGCCATGCGAAGGAACACGCCTTTTATTTCTGTGACTCAGTGCATGTGCAGGCTATAGTGCAAGTGTACAACACTGTATTTTTTCATGTGTGTGCATCATACAGCCTTGGAGCAGAGAAGTGTGCAGTGACAGTTGATCGTTGATGTAGTTTGCAACAGTCTGTAACTTGTAAGAGAGCATTGGGAGATATCAAATTGCCACATTAGGATCATACACCAATAACTGACCGTTCACTAAATTCCTTCAATAAAATAAACTATTTTCCAATGTGACTGCATAGTCACAGTTGCTCTGCATAGCAACTGTGACTATGCAGAGCGGGTCTGCCGGGCTTTGGATTTCCTGAAGCAGTGTGCATGGATCTTTAGTAAAAGGAATGTCTTTTTTAAACCATTCTCTGAACGAGGAAAAACAGTGCAACGGGGGATGACACTGCTTTCACTTAAGCTTGTTAGCATGGCTCAGTTTGGATTGTGAGCTGGTAAAGATACTAAGATTTTACTCTAAGCATGACATTTTTACCCACTGTCTTCAAGCCCGCAAAAACAGTTGTTGAACTAGAACTGGCGGTCCTGCCTTAAAACAAAATGGAAACTTCAACAGGCAAACAGGGAGTGGCTCTTAGTGAACGGTCAGCTGATCAAGTCACACAGTCAAAATATCGACTTTCACTTTAAGTCGAGTTTAAGTCAGTCTCTCCCAACGATGGCTTGTTGATGGACTACAAAGCTGAAGCAGACCGCCCAATTTCAAAGGACTGTCCAGGTGTTCTGCTCTCTATCGTAGCTTCGTTTAGGCCTTTCCACACCTCAGCCGGTTTGGGCTGTTGGAAAGGAGGGCCGTGGAAAACGCCATCCACCCATTCTCTGAGTGTGGCGACTGGAGATTCCTGTTGCCTTTCTGTCTTGGTGAGTGCCATGTTGGTCGGATACCCGGGTGACGAGGAAGTACCGGTTGATGACAGCATACACGGCGGGTACTCGGACTGCAAGCTGGCATCCAAAGACACAGCAGTGTGAGCGATGGACCAGATTTTGGGTTTGGCATCTGTGCTTCGAAGGTCTGCATTAAGATAGAAGGAGCTGCTTTGGTGCTGGACCGGTGTGAGTTTGGGGCAGTCAGGGGACAGTCTCTCTTTTCTGTGCAGTGTATCTGGGTTGTGTGCGAGATGCACGTGGGGTAGCTCTGTGTTTAGGTTCACTTCATTGTCCTCAGGTAGAAACTGTGGCTTCGGATCACAATCAGAAGCATCAGACTCCAGCAGATCGAAGTCCTCAAGATCACTCTGCAGGTCTGCGCACTGTTGCTCTGAGAAAAAAACAAACGACACCAACAGTAAAGAGTCTGTGCATAACAGTCAAAGCTTGGAAAACCATGAAACAAAGAAAACTTTGCTGGCAGACTGATGCTGCATACCAGGAAGCTCCTTGTCACTTTTAAGTGGCTTCTCAGCTTCATCACTGTCATCTTCACAGCCTCGGTCATCTGAGCTTTTACAAGCCCGCGGTGACCACGTCACCTTGTTCTCCTTTTTCAATCTCCTGCGTGCATTTGCAAACCACGTAGACACCTGAGGGAAGGAAGGAGAAATCAGAAGCGAACTTAAAGTTAGAAAAGGAGGAGAAGGAAAGTCGAAATGTGGGAAAATGTACTATTTGTATGGAATTAGGAAAAGGTGAAAATCAGACACATTATCATGCAACAGAACCAAAAAATTTCCCGATAAACATCAAATATTTTACAAGAACCCACTTGCGTAAGCGTCATTCTGGTGATGATGGCAAGCATTATTTTCTCCCCCTTAGTGGGGTAGGGGTTCTTCTGGTGCTCCTGCAGCCAAGCCTTCAGGGTGCTGGTGGTCTCTCGGGTGGCGTTTTTACGACGCGAAGCGCCGTCTGAGCAGGAATAACTGAGCCAGATGATGAGAATCAAATAAACAGTTAGCTCATACCAAAAGTAAGTGAAAAACAGAGGGAAAGAAAACTCAATATTCGTAAGAATGTGGTATTATAAATTACAATTAAATTTGAGTAAATTACAATAAAACACTATAAATATAATAAATCTTATTATAGTATAACACTGACTCCATAAACCTGCTACAGACAGGTTTTTCCCATCATTCTGAAGTAAATGAGAATTCTGACACAGATATTTTACAGTTATCATGTTAAAAATATGTTTTAATTTAAGAGCAGTGAAAACATTCTTGTTCACTTACCCATATCTGTCATAAGGATATTGTCCAAATGTGTATTCATAAGGATAATAGGCAGGAGTCTGAGATGTCCCCACATGCACAGATGCAGCTCCTTCTTTATGATCTAGTGGCCCCTGAAAATATTGAAGAAATGAATGCCTAATCAAGGTTAAACAAACTTTTATTTATTTATGTGTTTTCAGAAATGTTCCTGCACAAGAGACAATCTTTACACGTTTTTACCGTAAGGGCAAAACGAATAAGAAAAAAAATCCGGAAGTGAACACTTTGAAATCCGAGAATTAAAGAGTTAGAAGTGAAGTGTGACACTCACTCTGGAATAGAGAGCGGCGTCCGTAGCGCAGGTGTTGTAATAGCTCTGGCTCTTAGGATAAGGGCCGCTGTAGACTCCGATGCCTGCTCCTGGGGTGAGCTGGTGGCCCGGTGAGCGCAGCACCGGGTGGGACGGGGGGGTTCCCGGCTCCAAGCAACCGGCCAGGGAGCCTGAAGTCATCAGAAACTAAGGAAAAATGTATGAAACGAACTCACTGATATCCATAAAGGAAAGGGAATCTGGTGTGTATAGAAACCCTGTTATGTACACTGGCGCTTAAATGTCTCCTTACTTTCACAAAGGAGCAAATGTTTAATCTCAGTTATTTTCTCAAAAGCAAAACAAAAGCTGGAATAAAACAGCACCGACGTGCTGATTTTGTCACATTTTCTCCATAGTGGACTTGTTGATGGACTATTTTTTGACCAGTTAAAATCAATTTATCCTCCTTATTTAGCTCAGGCCCTCATCAATAACATCAAAGACAAAACAATATACTACCCGTACCTGTGGCGTGGTGGAGTAGGAGTATCCCAGCTGAGAGTAAGCCATGGTTCAAATGTGACCAAAGAGGAAATAAGTGGAGTGCAGATGTGGAGCGACTTCCAGCAGCATCCGTACCAAACGCAGATTTTAAAAAATTATTTTAAATTATTTTGCCCTGACACTAGTTCAGAGATACTTTCCGGTCAACTTTCCAGCTTTTTTTTTTTTTGTTTTTAATTGGGATTTCATCTACCATCTCGTCCAAAAGTGGACACGCGGACATTTACGCAGCGCTTTCATTTTACGCACAAGCGCTGACGGACTTTCAAAGTAACTTCTCGGCTTCACCCGCAGTTTCCACCTCATCCACCAGACTGCTCCTGCTCTTTAAAGTGTCCCTGCTCTCTTACAATCCAACGCCAGTTTGTGTGTGTGATCAAACCACGCATCTCTCCGTGATGCGCTCTTTGGTTTTTAAGGCACGTCTGTCTGACGTCAGCCTGGACTCCGCGCGAGTGTGTGTGTGTGTGTGTGTGTGTGTGTGTGTGTGTGTGTGTGTGTGTGTGTGTGTGTGTGTGTAACTCGGTGTTCATATCAAGATGAAGAAACTCACTCCTAATTAATTCCCTCCCAGTTTCCTTTCGCCTCTTATCCAAGAGAACAGCTCTGCGCAGCGATGCTCCCGAGAGTCCCCAGGCGTAAAGAGAGTTGTGATCAATTCTCCTCTCTCTCAATAAACACAGGCGCACAGCTGCACACGTCCACGCACGCATTTACACTGGCACACATGGCCAGAGGGGGTGGGATCGGGAACGTGATGCGTTGACACCACATTGACACGCGATGATTGATGACTACAACCTGATATTAGCATAATCGTTTTGCCCTGTTGTTTAGATAACTTGTCACCACGGAGAAATCTCGCTGTCACCCACATATTCATGAGTGGGGGAATTTCAGGTCTCCTCCAAGCAAATTAATCAAAGAATAAACATTCCATGCATTCCCTTGAGTAAGCACCTTTAGTGGCTGAATGGGTTGTCATGTTTTTAATAACAAACTCTTAAGCTGCCCCGACGAAGTGGAAACGTTTTTTCCCCTTCCTCTCTCTTTCTCTCAACCCACTTTAAGGTTTTCATCATAGGGGAGGAGGAAAAGGGCAGGTGTGAAAGGGCTGTGAGGATAACAGAAAGGCTTATTGTACCAAAATATTTGGATACACATTTGTGGCACACCGGCAGAACAGAACTTTTTGATGTATAAGAAAGAAAAGAAGGACAGATATTAGGGACTGTATGCAAATTATTAGGCTAGGAGAAGGGGCAGAAAGAGTGGTGACTTTGTTTTTTGTTTTCTTCTTTTGTTTCTATAAAAGAAAATGTTGCAAATGATCATGCAGTGATATGAGACAGGTAGACATTTGACGTTGAATCTACCTTTAATAAATGCAACCAGTATAACCATCTCTGCAACTTTAGGACTTTACAGACATCACACATATAACATCTTCTTATGTAATTGATAAATACATTTTTATTTTAAAAATTGCAGAACCTGACTCATTTATAGGCAAGCAGATATTATTGGACATTTGCCAATCGACTGGTATCTGCATTTGTATCAGCCGATAAATTAAAATTAAAAACGTAAAGAAGAGATGGAAGAAACACCCTTCAGCCGTGTTAGGAATGATGATGTTGAATATTCCGGCCACCAGATGACCTCTTCAACTTCCCTGTTAGCAACACGTATTTGGAACGCCTTAATCACAACAACCAGCTGACCTGAACCGAGTCGGGGTAAGTGAGTAAATGGATAACTACACATAACAAATATTAGGGTTTATTAGGTTTATGTTTTGTGTGTCTGAAAGAAAAGAAAAATATAATAATAATAATATATAATTATATAGGATCATCAGCAACATCATCAACAAAATATAAATATATTTGCTGACATATCGGAACACTCAATTTTAAAATCACCAAATAATAGTATCAGTACCAGCCTGAAAAAATATCACTCTACCCTCCTCACACAGTCCTATAAAAGAGGATAATCTTTACACAACCTTTCCAGGGATTTGTGTCCCCTCCCATTCTTGAACCAGTGATCTCTGGTGTGTTAGACAACTGTGCTAATCCATTTATCATCACATGAACGCTCAAGATTTTCACTGTAATGTACAAATTCACAAACTGGTCAGGAAAGTGTTTGTGAAGGCTACATAACAAGATAGCTAGGTGTCACTTTCACATAGATGAATTTTGTGGTGACAGGTGTCGCCCCCTTCTGGCCATCAGAAAGAGTACAACGTAAAAGCAACTGCATTGGTTTTCAGACACAGAACTTATGTTCATTTTTTAAATACAGATTTTTACTTCTACCCACATTAACTGCTTTTAGCCAGACTGAAAATTTATAGCGACATTTTCAAGCTAGGAGATTGACATTCTCTAAAAAAAATGATTCGGTATATCACCTTACTTAAACTGGGTCTAGAGTTCATAGCAACAATAACAGAAGCAGCTTTTCATACAAAGTTATGTCTCATTTTTACTTCCTTGTGAACGTACACATGCAGCTTTATGGTTTGCTTGGAGCTACTTTGAAGATTTGTTCTATGCATGCTGAAAATTATATCTTAGTAAATCAGGGTGAAAAATGTTGCATCAAGAGGGTCACAGATTCAGATACAGATTGCAAGAAATGTCAGCCTAAATCTAAGAAGAAGAAGAAATTGGATTCCCTTTAAAACATATTTGTTGTGCATATTGGTTGTATATGAACATATTTTCTGGATGTCAAGATCTTTAGTGCCGATCTCAGGTTTTTCACCATTTTTGTTTCTTTTCCCACAGTCTCTAACACTGGGAGAAAGGAGAGGTTTTAAAAAAACAAAAACTTTCCGTGCAAAAATCCAACTTGAAAAAATGGATGTGGAGAAGAGGAAAAGCCAGAGGAGGCAAACTTGGAGAGCTAAAGAAATCGTTAATAGTCAGGGGATCTGAAATGGAGCGAGGGGATGTGGAGGGGTAAAAGGACAAAATATTCCCAGTGCACCCAGAGTAAGGCTGGAACAACAGAGCTGCATCACCAGAAAGCATCTCAGTCCCCACAAGGGAGAAAGCATCTGTGTACCGGCTCTTGATTGACATTCCATTTGTCCCATGAAAGGTGCTCATATACTGAACACGGACTAACTGTCTCGCCCTCATCTGTGCTCAAAGCTCGGAAATGAAGTTATCTCCCTGCTCTGGCGTTGCACGTCTTCACACAAAACATACGTCACTCAAGGAAAATGGCAATTTGTTTATCCGCTGACAATGAACACGGGTGTGTTTAATGTTTGTTTGGGATGGTACACGAGGAAATAACTTGTACGTTTATTTGAATGAAGAGACTCTGCATAGCCTGAATTAAACTTTCAAAGCTCTGTACCAGAGTATTCCACAAATAATGATTATAAAGCATGAACTGTACATAGATAGATAGACACAACAGATTCTGTTATTTCAAACACCTACTTATATATTAATATATGGTCTGTTTATAAATTCATGGCATTCCTGCGGTATACATTTCTTAAGGCTCTGCGTTCGTTAGACCGTGATTATATCTTTCTGATCTCGTTCCCCTCACATCAATCATTCATTCAAGATGCTCCGCAGGAAAAAAAACGAAAGGAAACATTCTTATTTCCTCCCTCCTGCATGCAGCTCTAGCTATTATGCAGTAGGTGGGGCGTGGGGGTTAATGATAGAAGCATGTTAATGTGAGAGGAGGAGGGCTAAGTACAGCACAAAGTGTTTGCAGTGGAGGGCCAAACAACTACAATCACAACTTCCTTCAATCACAGCGCGTCCCATTTGAACATTTTCCACCTTAAAGTATGAAATCTATGCAATTTTAATTGCTGTTTAACATGTAGATGCTTTTTGAGCCTTCGACTTGGTTTTAGCTCTCAGTGGTTGGTGCTGAAGGTCCCAGAATGAAATCAGAATCCCTCTAATCCATTTTTTTACACCACAGTGAAAACTAAAATAATTAGTTTGCAGGGTCATGAAAATGCATGTAAATGCCACACCAATTTTCATCATTAATTTTCTGTGTTTATCTCAAAATATTCTTTTAATACATATATTTTTTCCTCTTTGTTTATGTGAATTTCTGCATCACAAACAAATTACTGATCCCAACCGTTTTTGTGTTTCTTTTACTTCAATGAAATGACAATAACGAAGTTACATGGTGTAGACATTGCATGCAAAAATGTGCCAGTTGCCACCTGCAGCTATAATTTCATCATATCCTTTAAGTACATCCTGCAAGTACACACACACTTTCTATAATCAAGGGTTTTTACCAAAAATCAAAGATGTGACAGAAATGCAGACTTTAATCATTTTAAGTATAAATCTATTGAGTTTCCATATTTTTAATACATGGATCCTTTGCAGCCAATGAATGCCTAAACGCTAGAACTGATGGTCGTCACAACAAACTGTGTTTCCTCCCATGAGATGCTCTGTCAGAGTATTTGTTGTTTGTGGAGCTCTCTGCCTTCCGTTTTTTATTTAATAACTGAAAAGCTGCTCTGTTTGGTATCAGGTGACTGACTTGCCTTCAGAAACACTCGGGTTGCTTTCGCGGTATCCGTTTGGACTGTGAAGTGCTGTTTAATCCGTTTTGCCGTATTTGGCAGAATCTGAAGAGAGAATATTGCCCTGGTGTAATTACCTTTTTGTGTTATCAACAGTTAATGCACAATAATTTTAGCAACCAATCGAATTGTTTTAATCAGCTCCAAGTTACATGAAAATGGTGTATACGAGTCTTTATAGTGTACATCTACATGTCAGTCATGCTTGCATGGCCAAACAATGAGACTAAGTGACCACATGAACAATTTGCTACGTAAACATGCTAAGTAGCTAGTTTGAAATGTACTTGTAGGCACATTTTTACCACTGGGCTGTGGACAGAGCAAGGTTAGCTGTTTCCCCATTTTATAGATTCTGGTGTTTTTGTTAGGCTAAGCTCACCAGCTTAATTGTTTTAGTTAATAGGCTAACATTTAAGGGAAAAAACAACTCATTGAATGTTAGGCTGTTTATTTTAACGCCTTTTTCACAAGTTTGACAGAAAAATGAATGTTTCTTTACATCAGTGACTTTTACAGAAAGGCAAGCAGAGATAATGACTTAAACATACCTTTTTAATGATTTTGCACTGCCTGTCTTTTATTTTTTTTTCTTCACCTTGCTGCACTACTTGGCTTATTTACAATTAACTAACAATGGCAAGTGCTAAGGAAAAAAATCATTGAGTAAAAGTAACTACAAAACACAATGAAAGAATTCACACGAGCAGTGTGTTATTATACATCATGTGATTTTTTAATGAGCTCAGAAAAAGGTGTGTGTGTGCATGTGTGTGTGCATGTGTGTGTGCAT